AGATCTAGATAAAGATCTCAATTACATCGTACGATATATCAATCCAGAGAACTTATTTCAGTTTAAGTCATCCATTCTGCTCCTATCTAAATTCATGCTAGGCTGCTTCACAGAGGTGCACTTCGCTCGACCACATGATGAACATGTTTTAAGCTAACTGTATGTCAAGCGCGTAAGCGGAGCTTGTGGTCACTCGTTCTTCGCTTGTTCGAAAGAGCATCAGATTGGACACAACACTACATACGATATTCCATTCCAACTACCCTTATGCCTTTTGCTGCTCCACAATGCTCTCTCCAAAACAAAACTCAAGTGAGTGAAAGAAGCCCGCATTCCCTCTCTTCTTTCCCCTATCGCTAAGGGCCTTGCCTTATTAAATAAAAGGCTACATTTAATTCTGACAACGGGTAAAGCTACTGCCCAGCTTTGTCTTTATGCAGGAAATGACCAAATAAGGAAGATTGTGACTCCTAACAAAAAAAGAATGGCATTTTCGGGGAATAGCCTCGTTAAATAAACTAGATTGAAGAAAGGGATGATATCTGAAATGCTTAGTTAATGGGGATAAACTACTCAGGATATCCTGATAACTAACCCACCTCGAACTGATAATGAGAAACCCATTTAAGCCTTTTAATGAGAGTTTTGGGATATGTGGCGAAACCCTCTTCTCTCTTTCGCCCATCTACCTCAGCTGCCTTGTCTTCTTTAGTTGGAACATAACTCAGCCTATATGTTGTCTTGTGATTCACAAAGTTTGGTGACCCCTTTCTCTATCTTCCCCAAGCCTAATCTAGGAAAATGTCCCATCTCTATATGAGCCACGTAATGATTTGCATAGGATTAAAAGAAAGGGGCACCCTTTCTATAGCATTATCAAGCTAGAACCCGGTTAGATTAAATCCTGCATTGTAATCCTTCCCCTCAAAAAAAGCAATCTCCCTATCAGCATCTCCATGGATAGTAAGAATTCCCCCATCTCTTGGCATCTTGATCTTATGTTATAACGAAGAAGGAAGAGCATCCAAAGGCATTGTTATATGGCCTACCCAGCAACAGATTCAAAGAAGCAGGGATATATAGCACATGGAATTCAATATTCGCAACGTAACCACTTCCCCCCACTCAACCCTCGACCACTTCGTAGCCTTTTTCTAGGCTGCGTTTGACTTCTTCAAAGACGAAAGACAACCAGAGTCTTTGCTCCCTGGATAAGTGGCATTCGATGTCGCAACCGATGCTTAAAAGATCTTCTTCTATCTTCTCAGTCTTCGATCGATCATTGTCTACTTCATAAGGGAGGGGGTCCCAGATAACAAGGAAACGGGATTCAAAATAGAGGTGAATTCTAAACTGGACCAAGATGGCCTATACACCAATTGACCAGCACCATTCCTGAAGAAACGAAGATTGTTGCAAGAAGACACCCTACCAAGACGTGTAAATGGCAAAAATTTTATAGCAGTAGAACGAACCTTGGGCTTGACCTGACAGTACCTCACGGCTCCCTTTCAGGATGAACAATGCGGCTAAGCGTGCATCTGAGGCGGATGTGCCAATGGATGGAGGCGGTTGCAGGTTGCATCTAAGAGTTTAGTTCTATGAAACTGAATAACATAGCCTGAAATGAAGTAAACTCACTTTGCTTAACACAGGGCAGTAGAGCAGGACATCTTTCTCACCCTCACCCATCATCTAACATGGTTCACACTAGCGTTATTTGACTCGCTTACTCCATCGCTGCTTGGTTGTACTTCAACCACTATAACCTGACAGTTCCTTTGCAGCTAAAAGAATAAGATAGAACACCTTTTCTGACATCAAAAGATGAAAGCAGTGAAGCAGGCAACAAAGTCGACTATTCGTCTTCACTTCCTCAAAAGTTCTAAATAGAGGCCCTGAGCTTATTTGAGAACGACCTATTCTAAAAGCAACCTATTTGAATTGGAAAACTGCTTCTTTTAGGGATGACTATTCTGCAGCGGTAATGGCAAACAGAAAGGGGGGATTGGTTTGAATAGCCTTATTGAACAGGAGAGTCAGTATTACCGCAGCTTTGACTCTGTTGCAGGTATGAAGTGAGTTCCATACCATGAATTTTTTTTCAATGGGATCAGGAAGACAACCCACCACTGGAACTTGCTTTGTTTTCGCTCCGCTTTTTCCCACCTGTCTTCTTCCCACTGTAGTGCAAGATCTTTCACTTCACCATAGCAGGAACCTCGCTAACCTTAGAGGCTAGTTAGTCTAACCACATGGGTCCCCTCCTGCTTTCCCACCCACCGTAAACTCTTACTACCTTCAATATTATCAAGAATATTTAGACCTTATAGCTCTCAATCAAACCTTTGATCTCACGCCAAATTTTACTATTGGGATTTCCTATACAGGTTTGGGCCCTCTTAATATACTGTAACCGTTGTTGATTAGACTCGAAGTGGTTCAGATCAGCGAAGTAGGCATCAATACCTCTGCCAATATCGGCATCTTCTTCTATCTGAAAGGGAAGGTTCACTTTCTTATATAAAGAGAGTTTCCTCTATAATGGTCTTTTTCTTGCTTTCGCGGGCGTCAAAGTGTTTTTCTATAGACCTCCACTCCTTAGACGAAATAAGATCTTTCCACTTATTTTTTCCAAAGCTGCCCAAATCTCATTCTGTGAGACTTCGCCTTCGACCACCGAAGTTCCTTCCACAGGTGGACTCCCGGGAACCTGCGGTAGCCCCTCTTGCCCCGCGTTCGACATGATTTGAAGGACCTCTAAAAAGGGTTCTACGGCCTATATAAGTTCATTAAACATGATGGTTTGGTTCATTCTTTGACTGCTATGCTCTCCCCAAACAAAAAGAGATACTTATTTAGATATATTACGTTGCTTGGTTGTTGACCAAGGAAAAACATGGGATTAATTGGACGTAACATTCTTTAACCACTTATTTAAGATAAAACTAGTTGGATGAAAACAACTCTCCTAAATGAAGCCTTTTTATTTTATATTTATGATATATGATACCACCTACTACCAAGAATATAATTTATATCTTCAAATTGCAAAAAGTCTGGTTTGAAGTGAAGGAACCTGCGGAGCGGTAACTAGAAGGGAGGAATTCAAACCCGACATTCAGCCATTCGGAGAAGAGTTGAGTTGCACTAAGAGACTTATGATTAAGTTCACTCAACTTTGCGGCGACAGTCCGGACTCATGGTTGGAGGGGAAGAAAAGTGTTGTTTTGTCGCAACAATTATTGGGATTGGTCGAGTTCCAGCGCGGCTCGGATCTTTGCAGCCGCACGTGCAAGCGGGATGATTCCAACCTCCATACATACGTTTCATGGATTCCACAAGATCTTTTTTGAAAGCCTATGATGCTCTGGAACACGTACGGAAAGTTACCCACCACTGACGCCTACCAGCAAGCTAGTAGACTTAACATACCGGAAATGACAAAGCATAGCTCCCCTTATCACCTCCAAAGTCACAATGGATTTTGACAGTGAACTTTGGGACATGTAATTTCATGAAAGAGGTTAGAGAGAAAGCTCCTCAATGCAGCCGTTATATTATTATACGATGCCACTTTCCATGGATAAGAATCCGATTCTCTATCTACGAATTGAGGAAAAAGGGGGGAGCTCGAAAATGATGAATCTTGAGCTTTCTTCTCTTATTCAATTGATAGTTTGATCGAGGGCGAGTGGAGACATGTCACTAACTATAGTGCCAAGGAAAGCAATTGCATGTATCAAGCATAGTGGCATGCTCTGTAGCCGGGGAATGAGCAATTAATTTAACTCTCGTTCATTCGGCTGCACTTTCAACCTTCCCCAAAGCGAAGGAAAGAATCTGAGTGGAAGAGACCCTAGCTGTAGTAGTGAAAGTAGTAGTAGCGGTCAGTCTTTTCTTTTTGTTGTTACAGAAGCAATAGGCGTGGATGGGTGTGTTAGATTGAAGAAGGAGCACCGGCTCAAGGCCCTTCTTATTTGACTTTGACTCTGCTGGAACTGACTGGCTTCTATTTTTGATGGCGCTTCTCTATGGAATCTTGTTCTTAATTCCTTCCTAAAGAGCTATGCGCCGTCACAGATCAAACTTTCCGAGTTATTTATTTCCAAAATGAAATACCCTACCTTTTTCTTCGACTATGTACCTAGATCTTTATTTAGAGGATGGTAGCCCTATATCCTCTAGCTTCCACTTTACCATCAGATGCTTTCCTAGCTTCTTGGAAGGGGTATGGATCCTATTACCGAAGCTCATAATTTCGAGTTTCGTGTATTAATGATTCTAGATTAGTATTAAGGGTGTGGTCGAAGATCAGGCTTGACTGGACGACTTCATTGATGGCGCATTTTGTTCTGGGTGGTGTTTCAGTAATTATGAGTGGCCTCTAAAGTCTTGGTAGCCTTTAGTCACTTTTGCTTACCTATCTTTTCCCATAGGATTCTGTACCTTCCCCTTATCTATGAACACCCTAGTTTGCATTTTTTTGTAAAAGTTTGTGTGATCGACAAATTATTAAGTGGTAGCTCTTTCTACGGATTTGTCTGCGGATGAAGATTCTGATGTTTTGGATGGAGATAGTTATGCTGATGCTGATGCCAAGGCTTATTCCACTACAGATACAAAAAGACAGAAAAGGGATTATTCCTCTTTTTTGGGATTTTGAAATTCATTTTCTTCCATCCCCGAGCCCACCTTTAGCCCTTTATTCAACTACTATTGTGGTAGTAACACATTCTTCGAGTAGGAGAACATTCTGATTTGAAAGAAAGTAAAAGCTAGGCTAGTTGCGGTGCCATCTTAATCATCTAATTTGTCGCGTCCTCTTGCTGCTTCTTGAGGAGATACTAAAGAAGCACGCAGTGGAGACGGCGAGAAAATATGACAAGGTGCAACCTTGAAAGGAACATGGTGGAAGCGAAGTATGAAGAGTTGTCACAAAAAAGAAGGAATGGGTGAGGAATTGACACGTGTAAATCCTTTAGCAAGTAGGAGAGCCATCAAATTTCAGAAGCACTGGTAGCTAACGCTTTGTATTCATCTTCTGCACTAGCGCGGGCAACTGTTGGTTTCTTTTTAGAGCCCGAAGAAATTAGATTGTCACCAAAGTAAATACAGAATCCAGTGGTTGAGCAGTGAATTGTTGGACAACCAGCCTCGCATAAGAGTAACAAAAAAAGTGTTGAGATAGAGCGATGAGGAAATCTAAGACAATAATATAATGGAGAGTGTCTTTCAAATACCTTAAAATGCGTTTAAAACACTGATCATGAACAGTGATGGGATTGGCCATAAAGTGGCGGGCATGATTAACAACATAGCGGAGGTCCAGTCGAGTGAGCGTGATATATTGGAGAGCACCAACAATAATCTGATAGGCCTGATGATCAGAGAGAGGTGTATCATCCAAAGATGAATGTTTAGAACCGGAAGCAATTTGTGTAGCACAAGGTTTGCAACCAAGCATGTTGGTCTGGCGGAATCAATCTAAAGCATATTTTGTTTGTGATAGAAGAAGGCTATAGGAGTCACACTGAGCTTCAATGCCAAGAAAGTCATTGAGAAAACCCAAGTCCTTCATGGCAAAATATTTACTGAGACGGTGAATAAATGAAATGAGAAGAGATCTGTTGTCACCAGTTAAGATGATATCGTCAACATAAAGCAAAAGGACGATACAACCAATAGAGGAATGGTGAAGAAAGATAGATGGAGGTATCCGCAACACTCTGACGAAAGCCACTTTGGAGAATATATGTGTTGAACCGTTGAAAGCATGCCAATTGTGCTTGACGAAGACCAACAATGGCCTTATGAAAGCGACAAAGATGAGTAGGCTTAGAAGGATCAACAAATCCAGGAGGTTGTTGCATGTATACCTCTTAAAGTCAAAGACCATGGAGGAAGGTATTTTTCACGTCAAGTTGGAGAGTGGGCCAATTTTATGAGATGGCAAATGCTAGAACTAAATTTAGTAGTCCGGGATGGTAAAGAATACCATAATGGACTAAATTGATGAGAGGCATCCTTTCTTTAAGCAGTCCATATCTTGGCCACCATATCATTTTGAACTATTCAAGGACTGGTCCAATATTGAAGCATGTGTCGAATCTGTATGATTGTAGTCTTAATCTAAATACCGCTCAGTGGGGATCTCGAAGAATGCATTTTTGTAGTCCAAGTAAAAGATAGGCATACATCAAGATCTATGGGTTCGTACACGCAAGAAATGCGTCCGGGATCATTTTTGAAAGATGGTCCCTAGTCTTTCCATGGTATAACCATTCTGATAATGAGCATAGTTGACAGCACTGATCCCTTCTTGTTCATGTATTTTTGTAAGTGGACCGATCTTCTTCGTATAGAATTTTCTCTGCTTGGTCCCATCCAAGTCTATATCCTTTATTACAGAAGTCATCTTTCACTGTATTTTTGAAGGACGAGCATACGAAAGAAAAGGGGGAGCCATAGTGGTAGGGCATTTCCGGGTTATGTATGTGCTGTGACCTTATGAACCGTGTCAGAATAAGTATCAAATAAACCAAAAGTTATCACTTTATCTGTTAAGTGCTTCAGTTCGACGTCATCTATCTCAAACGCTTTTGAATCAGACTCTTCCCCTACTTTTCATGCATCACGAGCGGATTATTTCTCCCTCTGAAACTCTAGCCAAATTGTTCAAGAATGATGGTAAACCCGTTTCACATCTCAAAGCAGACAACTCATCGATCTTTATCTTGCTCCCTAACTACTTACTAATAAAGGGAAAGAATAAAAATGGGTAGAGCAATATTCTGTATTGACCGTCAAGATATGATAATTCATGATTCACAACAAATTAGTCATCCGAATCTTAGAATGTGCTAATGGTTGGGGGCCCGCCCAAGCTTTCTCGATAAATAGAAAAATTGGCCTCCCCCTTTTGACTTGACCTTTTGTACTGAGGACGACCTATGAGATGGTTTGAACCGGTTCTCAAACCTACTACTATACGAATAGTCTTATTCGGCTAAGGCTGGCAAATCCAACTAGTTTTTGTTAAAAAGAGATCTCGGATCAAAGGCTATCGACCCGACAATGCTACGTTGGTCCATTTAGTGGATCGTCCCCCCAAAAACAAGGTCATATTGAGTAGAAACTTCGAGGAAGATAGCATTGGGACATGCAATTACCTATGTATGGTGACAGGTGTCATGCCAGAGTCTGTCCGGGTGGGCTCAAGCTAAAGAAGGAGAAGAGAGTTAGCTTTCTGATGAGTGAGCCCGAACAGGAGAGGACGCACACTAGATCAGAGCAAGTCTAGCTGGCCCAATGTCGCAGACACCTACTAGGATGAGGCACAGCGGGAATTGAACCCACATCTCATTGAACTGCTCCAGCAAGCACCCCTTTCGGAAGCTCAATTTGTAGGACCGGGGAGAACACTCGTAGGCGTGCAGGTGTTTTGAGAGAGTGCAAAACTCTAACTTGAGTAAGTGCCAGCCAGGCAAAAGGGTTAGCCTAAAGTGGTGGTTTAGCCAAAAGGGGAACGTGCAACAGTTGGATTCAGCACGCTCTTAAAATAGCTATGGAAATCCGACGCCAATCCCAACACGGAGATTTTATCCACTACATATACATAAGGAATATTCTAATCCAATACTTCTTGTCCTTAAAATATCATATATGCACCGTTGTTGATCCTTTCTAAATCCAGCTTCAACCGAGAATACGTCTGCCGCAGAAACAGGAAGAACGAAAATTGACTTTTATGTTGAAGTCTTTCCCGTTGGAAGGCCGGGGGCGCCTTGTACGTCTTGGAAAAATCATGCTTTGTATCAGAAGTTATTGGCCCATGGTCCTCAGTGAGTAAAGGACCTAGAACAGAGAAGAGGGCCGATAGGAAGAAAGGGGAAACTAAATCATGAAACTGAATTTACAAGCGGAAGGATGAGAAAAAAAAATGCACAATTGCGAAAAATCTGTCCTTCTTTTTAGTAAGGGTATCAGCCACAAGTATGAGGGGACATTCCCCATCATAGAGAAAGTAGGACAAGATGCCTAAAAACTTCAACTTCTTTCCAAGCTAAATATCCACCCTGTCTTCTATGTGGGGTGTCTAAAGACATACCATCCAGACATGGAAGACCCTACAAGAGGCATTCCCAAGAGGCCACCAGAAAGGATGACGACTTCCTTGTCGAAGGAAGTGCAATATGTGATGGCGGAACGCGAAGTTAATCGACATGGTGTCCTAGCTTAAGCTTTTGACATGGTAAAGTAGAAGTTTCTACCGAAGTAGGGAAGCTCTAGGGTTTTGCTAACCAGTGTGAAGTTGAGTTCTATCTTTCCCTAGTTCATGCAAGGCTAACCTTCGGGTTTTTGCTTTATGGTAAAACCTCTTACCAGATGGTTGTTCGCTACAACCTTTAAATATCGCCTAGCTTTCAAAAGAAGCTGGCCTCTTTGACTTTGATTAGCCAATCGAGTGTGGAGGGTGTTGTGCTCCTCTTCATTTGTTCCCATTAACGACCACAAATCCCAACACTGCTCCTTCTCGCTACTTGCCCACATACCTTTTTTTACTACTTTGACTAGCGCCCGGCAAAGTAATGATCTTTTCCGAAAGCCGACTTCCTTTATCGAGTGGCTCTCTCTATTGACGAAAAAATGATAGTTGGGGCTGTCTAAAATAAGAGGTAATTTTTATCAGTCCTAATCCTAATAAATACCACGTGAAGCGCGTGATCATCCAGATTCCTAAAGCCTTAATTATCTTATATGTATAATAACTTATTGATGTCAGCCCCTTTCCTACTCCAGCGAATGGAAAAATGCTAGGGCCAACCCAACCGACATCTACCATAGGCTAGGCGAGCTGTCCTCATCAATTTCCCGAAGGTAATGCTAGGGCCTTTTTAGTACTGATGACTCTTGATGCCAAGAAGGAGACCAACTAGACGAGACAGACCATTATTCATAGGTTGGTTATAAGCCCGGAGATCGAATCAGATTCTTCCCCTTTGAGAGGGATTCTCGTGCCAACCATAGGAAGAAGAACTCGATTACTCATCTTGGATCGGATTGGATTAGTAGTTTTGTTGTGTTCTACGAACGAGCCTTATATTTGATATATACTATACTTCTTCAATCTCCATCATCCCCATCTCTCTTTCCTGCCTGTCCAAAGAAAATAGAACCTCTCCTAGTTCAAGGTCGAAATCCTCAAACCAATCAAAATCTGATTTCTAGTTCACTATTTTTATGATAAGAAGTTATGTCTCATTCATGTGATGAGAAAGCTGAGAATGAAAATTAGCAAATTTCACATCTACGACAGATTTTGTGCCCCAAATCATTTAGACTTATGAAACTAAGCGGGCGGGGAAGGTATGACCCCTCCCCCGTTGAACAAAGGGGATGCGTACGGCGGGCTCACTCACATACTGGATAGGTGACTCGGAATTATAATGCTAGTTCCGTTCCCTCGGAGAAGAGAAAGCACGAATCTATTACAATCTTAGTAGAGAACATAGGAGGAATAAAAATGTTGGTTCTTTGTTCCGTCCTTGACCTATGATATGATCAATCGCTTAATCCATCCACTAGACCACCTGGAATTCTTAATTAAACCTTTACCCGAAAAACGAAATTTGATTTTCTTATTAAATCTTCTTTTCTTAGATTAAGATATCACCATACCGGTAAGTTTAAGAAGGAATGCATTGATTTTCTTATTCCTTCTTTCCGCTCTTTGCTTAGCTACACCGGCTTACAGATGCCCATGTCCTTCATGGATCTAGGAGTTCATACGAATAATGGCTAGCGGTATTTCACATTCAATCAGAGTTGTCTTAGTTGGTTTCCGAATGGAAGGCACTCAAGACTCTATATAGTGGTTTATGCCCTTATTTGGCTTCAAGAAGCATTAGAATCCCTTATTTAACTTGCAGGGCAATTAACGAATAGAAGCTACCATCCTAAGGGGAGGATCTATTATCTCTCTACCCAGCTCCTCGTCTAACAGCCAAGAACAAGAAAGCTATAACACTCGGGTTGTTGAATGTTTTAGGATCAGATGAGAAAACCAACCCTAGTAGAGAGGCTCAATAAGATAAGTTAATCGGAGTTCCCGGAAGGAGGTCCCACCATTTACTTGACTCTTAGAACCTTTGTTGGTTTTGGGCAACGAGGATCAACTTCCAGGACAGGAAAGGGCGATCCATCTATTTATTTGACTGAACCTAATTCATGAGAAAGAGTCCTAAGGTTCCAAACCTTTATTTTGCACCGAGAAGAAATCAATAGAATAGTCCGAATCGTCTGATACAAGATGAAGAGGTACCACGGAAAGCAGGAATAGAGGAGGCACATGCCTGCCATTAAAATAAACCAAAGATAATTAGCTCATCTTTGAATAGGTAGCCCTGTTAACCAGAAAAGCTGGAGGGACTTCCTGCCATTGAGGAAAGGAAAGACCTAGGACCT